ACTCATTTCAATTCTTTTTATCTTATTTCAATTCTTATTAATTTATTTATATTCTTATTAACCTATTTAAATCGTTCTGAATTTTTTCTGAAGTAGATCACAGGTGGCAATTGACAGAGTATTTAATTAGTATATAACATGGTATTTTAAATGGCAGATAATAAAAAAAGAATAATAAAATAGAAAATCAAATATTTTATTCGTTCAAAAGGATATACTTTTAAACATCAGATATTTTATCCGTTCTAAGATATTTTTATTTAAAATAGTATTTCAAATATTCTCTCTGTATAAATATTAGCTCTGTAGCTGTTTTGGGATTTTTTAACACGTTCACAGCCAGAAAAATTGAGGCTTGAGTTGGTTTGTTCAAAATTGCGAGCAGAACAGCAATTGAACATTTGTAATTTCTCGAACAGTTCGAACGTCTGCAAATTGAACATCTAATTGCAGCGACATCCGTAACATAATAATCGCACTTATGCCACAATTTCTAGTGGTATCGCGTCTCACAGTTAACACCTGCGACACACATACCACAAGACATCCTCCCAGACGGCAGCGAACGTGTCAATTTATTAAGCTGCTTCGCCCGTGAAATCGCATCTTGCAACAACGCATGGACGGCTGTCTCAAGCACGAGACGGCTGAACAATGCCAGTAAAAATCGTCTTGGAACGTCAGTCTCCAAAGGATCCACGCGATCTTCTTAAGACTGAATCCGACAAAACGTTCATCGAAGCGAAACCGAGCGAGCGGCCGTCCCCGCGATTTCCACCCCAGAATTAGATCGTCAACCCCTTATGGATCCCTCCTGGACGCTAACGCGACAGCCCCGGGTAGACGTCGCCGGAATTAAATATCGGTTACGCAAACCTCAAAGACTCGCGCGACGCGTGCATCCTGTAAAAAGGGTTCGCAGGTTGCACTCGAGGAAGGGTTGGAGGACGTGTGCGCACCCTTAATCCTAGACTGTGCCCAAAAGAGATCCAGCAGGGTGTCTCTAGAGGAGGACGGTGTTTTCGGAGGGAGGGAGAGGGTGGTCCCAGAGAGATGCGGTGCAAGAGGGAGAGAAAACACGCAATCGGGATAAAAAAAGAAACAGCCCGGCCACGTGTGATGGGACAAAGGGCGCCCGCGGCAAGGTGCCGAAGGGTCTTCTTGTTGCACCTTTCAAAGGAGACACGGAAGACCCGGCTTTTACGCTCGCGGATACGCGGGCCCCGGGCCCCGTCGACGAATCTGCTCAAGTTCGAAGTCGTTTTGTTGGTTTTTCCAGAAGGTTACGTGGCTCTGCACGCGAAAACCTATTGAAATTTCCGTGGCCCCGGACTCCGGTCCGCGCTCATTGTTACGGGGGTGGGGGGTGGAGTGAGGTCGGACCGTTTCGAAATCGTATCCAGGAAGATCGTTTTTCAACCGTGTCCCCGGATATGTGCGTGCATGAATCGATTTCTCTGTTCCGATCCGAAGGATCTCGCGTCGAACAAAAACCGGGAAAATTCTTTAGGGAAAAACCCAGGTGATAAATGTACACGTTTTATGCTCGCAGCGGGCACGGCAGCTTCTTGAGAAACGTCTAAGAATTTCGACTTCTTCTCTGCTGTGCTTTTAGATTAGATTTTTGGTTTACAAGGCGGATTTTATTGCGCGCGTTCGATCGAAATTCCTCAGCTTTTAATCCGAGGCTTGTCTTCATTTTTAAATACTTCTTTAACACTAGATTCACGGGATCCGTTGATATATGTCGGGTCACTAGTTCTTTAATTTACGATTATTCGTATCGTAAGGATACATTTGTGAGTTATTTATTCAATATGTTACGGCAAATGTTACAACAACACACTTGTTAAAAATCGGAATAAATGTCTTATTGTGGCTTTTATAAAGTAATATAAAACAGCTGTTTGTTATACTCCGCAAATCTAGTATTGAAGAATGATTCGTTCTTTTGCGCTAATGCGAAATGGCTGAAATTTTATTTCATCTTTTAACAGTTTCAGTAAATCGAGAGCTGTGTGTGTGTCACATTCTTGAATTCTTCAAACGTCTTTCTTGTTTCGAACTTTACGTCTATTCTTTTGGTAAATAAGTAAAATCCAAAATCAGCTGGAGATCTGCTGATTTATTAGTCATCGCGATTTTATACATGAATTGTACGAAACGAAAAATCCACAATAATTTACTCAGCTATCTAGCAACTTTGATAAATTGGGAGCAATGTTGCATTCTTCAATTTTTCTAACGTCTTTCCAGTTTTAAATTTTACTTGTTCCCTCGCTAGTTTCATTAGTCTAATGACTAAACTCCACAGCTGCGAAATTGCACAAAAATTTAATCCGCTTTTTAACGTCCTGAATGAACCAACACCGACCATGCATTCTTCTCTAGCGTTTTTCCTACGAAATAATTTTATAGTGGCTTTAGTTTATTTAAATATCAATCAGTGAACGTGGAAATGAACAGAAAAAACGAAGCAAGAGATGCGAGAAGTTCTGACGAATGATTAAAAAAACATGGATGAAGAAGTTACTACGCGAATGTGGATTACTTTTGCAGATTATTATTATTGATGGAATCGTGGATTATTATTGATTTGACATTGCCATATATCTACGTGTCTAAATAGCAACGATATATCTTGTCCAGTAAACATTTCGTTGCAAAAATAGCTGTCATTTACTTCGCCCTGTCATAAACCGCCGTTCCAAATTCTCCCAGTTTCAGCAGTTTCGGCGGCAAATCGGTAAAATTCGCAGACTAACGACGACGTATGGATCGAGCAAGTAGGTTCCCGATTTTTCGGCGATACGCGGGAGGAAACGCGAGACCGAACGAGTAGAAACCCCGTCTCTTTGTGACATCGGCAGCCTGCTATCTCGTCGTCAAATCGAGCGGACCGTCGCCGAAGAATAAGATGTCTACTTCTTTCGGCCGGCCGATCAGATATACCGGGAGGAACCGTCGTCTTTGGATCCGTGGCTGATCCACCCCTCTCGACTCGAATCGAATTCGTATCGAGTAGGTAATTCGCCGGAGTGCCCGGAGAACAATGGCGGGACGTTCGAGCGAGCGAATTCGCGCTTTCGATCCTCGATCTGTTCGCGAGCGATGTATGGAACGCGTCTTAATCCAGAAATTGGAGGAAGAAGATTCTGCGAGACTGTCTGCGATTGCAGGAAAATGTACGAACCAATTATCCTTCTATTTTTCATGCAATTCTGTTAACCAGTTGGCTGCGTTTTACGAGTATGAAGCGCATTTAATAATGAAATGCATTTAATAATGAAATGCTTTTCATAATGAAATGCATTTTGTAATGGAAAATATTTTTGCAACTCTCGTGGTCGATTTTGTTTGTAACTTTGCTTGGATAATGCTTATAGTAATATAATAATATATATTTTTGTATTAGGCACACTTTATTAGATTACGGATTTTATGCAATTTTGATTGAAAAGCAAGTAGAAAAGAATACGAAAATGTAAACGCATTAGGAAAATTTTACGAAGATTGCTCTCTCTCTCTCTCTCTCTCTCTCTCTTCTGTTATTATTAACCCTTTACAGTCGAAGCTATTTCAATCCGAAATCCAAAACATAATTTCTGATGTAACAGTATTTCTATTTTATATAACTTATTGCGATTCATGCATATGGATTTGAGCCTATTGACAAGTAAAATGAAATTTTAACAATTTTCTTTTAAATATAAACGAGTCTGATGCTCTCAAAATGCTTTTGAAAAATAGTATACCAATTTTTATTGGCGCCATAGAGTCGCCACTCGAGTGTAGAGGGTTAAAAGGAGACACATTTTTCTTTAATTTCCGTTCCTCGCAAATTAGGTCGGAGAAGTGTCAATTGGCTATTTAGATTGCAATTTTAGCGAAAACAAAAACGTATTCTGAAATTTCAAGATGTTTAGGATATTTTGAGACCAATCCGACACAAATGTTGATTAAACAATCTACGACAATTAACTCGTTGCGCTCGAAGCCATTTTATATCTAAATTCGAAATAATTCTTCGGATCTAAAGTATTTTTATTTTATACAACATAGAGAATTTTTTGAACTTGAAATCGAATCTGACTTTGGAAATTGACACGCATGATAATTACATTTTTAACAATTTCAGAAGCAACGAAGGATAAAAACCGAAGTAACGCGTTTCCAACGTCTTCGCGATGCTGAAAAATTTCTGAATAATTCATGAAAGAAAAAATTGCACAAAAACCGTCAGATCGGTGCCCGATGTTTCCTTTTACGGTCGCGGCGCCAAAATACTCGATCGAATTATGTAAACTCGTCGAAAAAGTATTGCAAACGAGCTACCGTCGACGTTCGGAGTAGCAAAAGAGTATAATTAACGGGACAGAATCTTCTTGCTCCGATTTCGCGCAACGAAAAGGGACGTACGAGCTGCGTGACAAACCTGATTCTGCAGGAAGAACTGCGCCTGTGCCGGAAGCTGTCCCGCCGCGGCAGGGTTCGCCTGCTGGAACATGGCAAACTGCTGCAACCGTTGCTGCAACGACTGCTGCTGTTGTTGCAGCGTCGACGCGAGCGCCTGGATCTCTTGCGGTCCGAGTGCGCCCAAGGAGCCGTGCATCAATAATTGCTGGCTGACCAGTTGAGCAGCGAGCGCCGCTTGCGAGTTGCTGTTGTTCTGCTGATTGGCCGTGTGCTGTTGCTGCTGCTGATGGCTTCCTGTTATCTGGCTGCTGACACCGGAACTCGGCGACGAGGCGCTGCCGCTGGTTCCGCTGCTGCTGTTGCGGTGCGACACGTCTGTGACCTGTCGTTATCGGTCGAATGGTTGCGTTAGACTGATCAGTGTTTTTAGGAAGCCTTGAATTTTACAGATTTATTGGGAATTTTCCATCCTATAATTAAATGCATTTTGTAATTAAATGCATTTTGTAATGACATGCATTTTATAATGAAATGCAGTTTGTAATTAAATGCATTTTATAATGAAATGCAGTTTGTAATTAAATGCATTTCGTAATGGAAAATATTTTTGTAACTTGTGTTCGTTATCGAATTTGCTTGTAATTTTACTCTCATAATGTTTATAGCAGTAATAGTGTTTCAATACATTTTTGTACTGGGATAACTTTATCAGACTACCGATTTCAGGCAATTTTGATTAAAAAGCAAGCAGAAAGAAAAATACGAAAATATAAACGCATTAAGAAACTTCTACAAAGATTGCTCCCTCTTCTCATCGATTTACGAAAATTATTTAAAAGACCAGAGACACGTTTTTCATTAATTTCCGTTCCTTAAAAATTGAGCATTTTCATTTTGCATAAAAAACCGCAGTTTACACATTATGGTTGTTTCCGAAGTAATTGCGCGTGCTATAAAATCCGCGGGCTATAATATTGCTTCAACTGATCTAAAATTATCCTGCAAACTCGTGCAATCATTTTCGAGAAATTAGGTGTACGCGATATTCCAGCGAGTCGTTAATTTTGGAAAAGCCCCAGCGTTTATCGATAACGAAGTATAAAAAGCCGCGGATGAGAAAACCGTGGAACGGGAGCCGCGAAATTCGAAACGCGTACGAAATTAATTAGGCGACTCCGGCGGCTCTGATTTCGGATGTTTGCGTAGGATGGAAAACAGGGGGCGGGCGGCGGTCGCCGAATCGGAGAGACGCCGTCGCCGTTAACGCCGTAACGTGCAGCGATTACATTCTTTCCGGGGATTCGTGAGCAGAGGAGGAAAAAAAAAATCGATCACCATAGAATCCCGGCTAGTCGTCACGCCGTAACGTGGGACCAGGAACACGAAGAACCGGAGGAACCGCGCGCGAGAGAGCCACCCTCCCTAATATTACAGAGTAAACGGCGCCGAACAAAGGCGTGTTTACACTCGGCCAGGTCAGGATATTGGTCACTACGGTCCATCCACCGCTTTTGTGTTTTATAAAACCCACACACGCATGCAAACGCACACAACAAACACGTACAGAAACACGCTGTCATCCTTTCCTGTCGTTCATCTCGCTAGAGGCTTCCTTTATTTATTTGCCAAATATTGAACGCGAGCACTTTTCGAAAACCGTGAAAATCTTCACGGTTCCCTCGAAGTTACACCGGAAGCTACGCGATTGTTACGTCGAGTGGAAACGTTGCCCGAGAATTAATGACAGGCTCGGTCCTCCGGGATCGACGTGCTTAATCATTTTCTTTTTTTTTTTTTTAGTTCCGGGCTTGGTTGATGAAGCGAGAGGAACGGTGGTGATTGCGAACGCTTCTGCGCTTGCGGCGTGTAAAACACTAGGACTGTCGAGTTTTAAAAGCGACCGACGTTTTCTGCTGCGAAGAAATGAACAGGACTGAATTTAGATCTTTCGCTATTTTTATCGCAATTTATGCTCGAATTGACTCGAATTATGTTGACCTGCCGTTTTCGACGCAGTTACTGCGATTAGAAATTTCTCGATTGCAATAATTTCTTAGATGGGGAGGAAATTGATGCTTGTTGTGTGCCTAAGTTTTCTTGAATGCTTAAACTATGATATACTTATGTAATAATAATATATAATAATAATAATAATAATAATATATAATATATTATATTATATATATTTTTTAAATATATTTTAATCACATTATATATATATTAATATATATTATATAATATTACATGATATATATATATATATATATATATATATATAATAAATTATTATATATTATATAATTATCATATATATATATTGATATTATTATATTAATTTTAAAGAACAGAACTCGAATTGATATTTCAATGTTGCTCCCTCGAATTTTTTAAATAATGAAAGAAAATTTTTCTTCGATTGTAGAAGGCGATGGATGAAAATTGTGATCTGCATGAGAACTATTACCGATACGCGCGCAATAATGCATAGAAATTAGAATTTAAAAGATTCACAGCAGATCCAAACTTGAACGACACCATATTTCTAAATTATATTATAAATTTGGGAAACTGAACGTTAAAGGTTCCCTCTCGATTGTCTTCTCGATAGAGTAACACAATCTGGTCGTTTCTTATATAGGATTCCTGTTAGAACGAAAATTAATGAACACGTTTGAAATATAGTACCCGGTCATTACAAAAAGGCTATTAAAGTTGATTAAAATTAATTATTAAACTTATTACAATTATTAAAGCTATTAAAATTATTAAAGGCTACTAAAGGCTTCCAATAACTAGAACGTTAAGTTCCCAAGACAAATCGTAAACAGGCTCCCCGATCGTCCCACAATAAAATAAAAAAATGGACTCACCAGGTTGAGGGCTTCCCTGTCCGAGTCCATGGAGTCATGGTCAAGGTTCGCCTCGGTAGCATCCTGGATGTCACTGGCGATGCTTCTATCGTAACCACTGAGCTCGTGCCCATCAACATCCCCGTGGAGATCCGCATCTGTAAGAGACCAAAGACCAACGCATAATTATCACCGCCATTTTTCCAACCCCCTCCCTCCGACAACCCCCTCAGATCATCATCTCGCGCTGAGAGAGATCATCGCCTTCGGAACACGAGAGGAAACATCAAAAGATAACTGATAAAGACCATCGTCTCCAGAAGATAAAAAAGATCATATTCTTCTGAAGGCAAGAGAGACCATCGTCTTCGACAGACAAGAAAGACCATCGTCTTCGGAAGACAAGAGAGACCATCGCCTCCGGAAGACNAATATTACATGATATATATATATATATATATATATATATATAATAAATTATTATATATTATATAATTATCATATATATATATTGATATTATTATATTAATTTTAAAGAACAGAACTCGAATTGATATTTCAATGTTGCTCCCTCGAATTTTTTAAATAATGAAAGAAAATTTTTCTTCGATTGTAGAAGGCGATGGATGAAAATTGTGATCTGCATGAGAACTATTACCGATACGCGCGCAATAATGCATAGAAATTAGAATTTAAAAGATTCACAGCAGATCCAAACTTGAACGACACCATATTTCTAAATTATATTATAAATTTGGGAAACTGAACGTTAAAGGTTCCCTCTCGATTGTCTTCTCGATAGAGTAACACAATCTGGTCGTTTCTTATATAGGATTCCTGTTAGAACGAAAATTAATGAACACGTTTGAAATATAGTACCCGGTCATTACAAAAAGGCTATTAAAGTTGATTAAAATTAATTATTAAACTTATTACAATTATTAAAGCTATTAAAATTATTAAAGGCTACTAAAGGCTTCCAATAACTAGAACGTTAAGTTCCCAAGACAAATCGTAAACAGGCTCCCCGATCGTCCCACAATAAAATAAAAAAATGGACTCACCAGGTTGAGGGCTTCCCTGTCCGAGTCCATGGAGTCATGGTCAAGGTTCGCCTCGGTAGCATCCTGGATGTCACTGGCGATGCTTCTATCGTAACCACTGAGCTCGTGCCCATCAACATCCCCGTGGAGATCCGCATCTGTAAGAGACCAAAGACCAACGCATAATTATCACCGCCATTTTTCCAACCCCCTCCCTCCGACAACCCCCTCAGATCATCATCTCGCGCTGAGAGAGATCATCGCCTTCGGAACACGAGAGGAAACATCAAAAGATAACTGATAAAGACCATCGTCTCCAGAAGATAAAAAAGATCATATTCTTCTGAAGGCAAGAGAGACCATCGTCTTCGACAGACAAGAAAGACCATCGTCTTCGGAAGACAAGAGAGACCATCGCCTCCGGAAGACAAGCGAGACCACCATCTTCAAACCAACGAGCGACATAATCATGTCCAGAAGACGACAGTGATCATCAGAAGGTGCTCGAGAAAGCTGAAGTTCCGAAGTCGATTATCGAAAGAACAACGCGTCCGTACAATTGTTGTTGTTCTGGGACCGGTACTTCTGATGCAGATGGTAGCGCGTGGGGGTGGACGTGGGCGTGCTGGTCGCACGAAGTCGCATGTCCGCAAAGATCATCCTGGGATCTTCGAGGAAGACCATCGTTGTCCCCGTCGTATCTCGAGGACCGATCGGCCTATCGGGGTCACATTAGGGACCGATTCCCTGGGTCCTCAGCATCCGGTGAGGACTGCTGCAGGGCACCGATCTCGAGGATCAAGAAGCACCCCAGCACACGATCCTACATCCGGATGGCGCACTGATCCCGCCGGTTTACTCGAAATCAACCGTAGCATTCGAAGAAGAAAAAGAGACAGAAGAAGCACATTCCGAATTCGGCTGAACAGCTCTCATCGGTATTAGCGAGCAATTAGAGTCCGTCTCCCGCGCACTGAATATTCAAACGAAGGGAACCTCGGAAGGGCACGGAACCGGTGCGAGAATCCGTCGGTCCTCGCCGCAGGACCGACACAGAACGAATGTCAGAATGACGCAACGAAATCGTGCCCTAAACGAGCGCCGCCGACCTTCCCCTCTACCACGTGGCTCGGAAGGGAATCGAGGATTGGTCGACGGCCCGGCCTGGTTCGTCCTACCATTGGCCGATGCCCGGGAACCCTTTGGCCCTTGTTCATGCCCCTCTCCGTGCCGCGACGCGCGAAACAACCCTTCGCGCATCCATCATCGTGTCTTATGACTCGCCTCCCTCGCCCACCCCTTTTTGCGCCTTCGTCTTTCAACGAGCCTCGCGCGCGCCCGTGCCCCTCTCACCCCCCGCGTTTCGAAAGGGGCACGCTTCTAATACGAAACGATTCGCCAGGCTGCCGAGAACGAGCTTACGCCGTTCGCGCGACCGTTTTTAATAATAATTACTTCGATACGCTCGGGGACACACCCCTTTGAAACGGCGCTGGGGGATTTGCGGGATGGCGGTTCGCGTCAAACGATTTACGTTCGGTTTTTTAAGGCTGCGGATTTTGCAATTTTAGCTACGAATTTTGCAATTTTTGCTTCGATTTTTGCAATTTAATTTCATTCTTAGACTTTGATAAGAGAAAAATCAAATTTTGCTTTCATTTATAAGAAACGAATGACATTCATATTGAGTAAATTATGCTATTATTTACTATTAAAATTTACTATTAGTAGTAAATGAAGATACTTAGTGAATAAAAAATTCGTGGTAAATGAAAATTCGTATTAAATGAAAATTCGTAGTAAATAAAAATTCCTAAAGAATAAAAATTCGTAGTAAATGAAAATTCGTAGTAAATAAAAATCCCTAATAAATAAAAATTCGAAGTAAATAAAAATCCCTAATAAACAAAAATTCGTAGTAAATGAAAATTCCTAGTAAACATGAAATTATATTAAATTCGTCGCGAGAGTCCGTCTCGTTTGTATAGTACAAGATATCCACACGTATCCAACAAATAGCTACAATATCTTTCGAATCGCATTCAAATGACAGCAGTAGCATCCCACGAAAAAATGATCAAGGGATACCGGGATGATCGTCTATCATCGAGCACGGAATTGAAGTTCCATCCAGCTGGGTGCCCGAATCTCGTTCATCCGGAACAAGATCGTATCTCGGGGCGCATCTTCGAGCTCTCTTTGTTCCGCATCTGCATACACCGACGCGCTGCTAGGTGCCATTATAAATGGCCCCTGGCACAATGCCTCTGCCCATGCAATTTCCAGCCATTGAAGCCCGTTTAACGTTTGCACGAGTGACACGGTAACCGTCTATCCATCACCCACCCACATTTCGACGATGATCGGACCCCGGCCACGCACACACCAAAAACCTTGCAACCACCCCGATGCAACAGAACTGCAGCTGGACCGACTACGACCGTCTCTCTCTCTCTCTCTCTCTCTCTCTCTCTCTCTCTCTCTCTCTCATATCCTTTCATTTCAAACGCACTGTGGCCTTCGACGCCTCTTCCCGTTTTCTCTTCCTTTTTCACGTCGAGGAAAAACTGGGCGATGGACCTGACCTTCCATGAGACGCCGGAATCCGGGGCGAGCACGATCTTGTCACGTACGTCAGGTGATAAAACGCGACACACCTGAACAGAGCAACACCATCGATCGCGATTTTCGGGAATGGTGATCCTATAGAGATCTATGTGGATCCCTTTCTCGACAGGTAATGGGTTCCTAGGTGCCTGTTCACTGTGTTCACATCCGAATTTTTTCAGTAAATGTATCAGTGAGTGATCAGATTCATGTGATCTCGTAGCTTTTTTATTTTAACTCACGTTTGCTTCTAAAAAGAATTCAGTTCAGGTTTTAGGATTGACAAGTTCTGGTCGTGTAGATTCAAGTAAGGATTCTGTGATCATTTAAGCAATTTCAATTAATTTTTTCATTGACTGTATTCGTGGTCTGTTGTTGATCATTGAAATATATTTTTCTGATTAGAGAATATTTTTGCTGATCATTTGAAGCGAATTTGTATATTGTTCAACAAATTAGCTGTTTTGATGATTAAGCTGTCAAGCTGTTTTTCGTTAACTGGTTAAAAACGATATATATGTAATTTGGTGTCCTTTAATAAATTTTATACTTTATAAAAGTGTCGTACTTAATATAAAATATAAAGAAAATCGAATTTTTATGCAAAATAAAAACTGTCTCCATTATTTATAAGAAGCTACACAGACATTTTTCTCATTCTTTGATTATTTTGTCGAGTTACAAATAATGCAGTTGTATTTTTAAATTTCTTAAATAACCATGGATCTATTCGTTTCCGCCATAAATGCATAAAATTCGCAGTCCAATAATCGCAGTTACTTGCACACATTCCAAAGAGATTGCAACCCCGACTGCATAACAAATTGCACGATACTGATTCTGTTCCGACTTGCAAAATAGATCCGAACATCCCAATTCGATCACATTTCTGCCACGTCAACAAGGAATTCGAATGTTTTCCCCCCAAATCTCGCACCCCCGCGCGAGCCTAAAAATCCCGAGGAATCCCGGACAGAGGGCAAAAGGTCACTGAACCCTGGTTACGAAGAAAAGAAGTCGCTTAGCCAGTGGATCGAGCCTGTGGACCGAACTTTCCCATAGCGTCCCACGAGTGAATCGGGTCGCAGAGAGATAAAGGCTCGCGAAACGTTCATAAAAACAGCCTCGACGCAGGTGAGGATGTGCTAGAGCAAGGAAGGGAGGAGGTCAAGGTGAGAAAAAAGGCGCATTTGAAAATCCTGTGAATCCTGTGAATTTCGACGCAAGGACCGAGGCTGGCCCCGATTTTCGCTCCTCCGCATCTGTGCGTCTCCCCTTCGTACCTGACGTGGATTCCCCGTAAAACGGAGAAAAAACGGCATGGGAGAGGCCGGGGCGGAGGGCGAGCAAGATGTGACAGGTCAGGTAGAGAGAGAAATTCGTCGGCATTGGTGGGATTCCCTATAAAATTTCGGTTACTCGTCCCGTGGATCCTCGCGCGGCCGATTACGCCCGGCCGCGATCTCTCTCCCGGATCGGATCTCTCTCGCACCCTGGATCCGATCTCACCCCAGCGCGGCGGAGGGCGCAGGTAGCACGCATCGGTTTCCCTTTTTCCAAGGGAATTTGCATCGTTCGCCCGTTCCCCTCTTTTCACCGAAAATTGCCGCTTTTTTAGCCGTGAGAAGCTCGACGAGGAGACGCCTAAAGAGAGGGGAGAAAAGGATTTTTTCGGGCGAAACACGCCAGTTCCCATTTTTCCACCCTTTTCGCCGCAGTCACGACCAAGGAACCGACGTTTTATCGCGGACCAGGCTCCGCCAGGTGCGAAAGGTCCGTTAGCGTACGAATAACTTAGATAAGGCGACAGTTCCACCTCTTTTTCGACGGATTCTTCCCCACGAAGAAGCGAACCACCGTTGACGATTCGTCTTCCAGGATTGGGAGAGATCTGCTCGGGGAAAAAAACCAACGGACTTTCGGCGACGATCCTGACGGAGGAGCCAACAGGGATGATGGCGGGAGATGATACATAAATATCAACGGTTTTTTAACGGAAATACGTTTCGGCGGCGCGACGGGGATGGCTGAACTGCCAATGGAATTTGAAGTTGCTGGTGGGCCTTGAAGAGTGTTAGGATGATGTGGTGTAGAATGTGCTAGAAAAGGATGGCGTGGAGAAGGTTCTGGCAGAACACTGTAAAGAAATGTCCCAACAGAACACTGTGAAAAAATGTCGTAACAGAACGCCGTGAAAAAATGTCGTAACAGAACATTGTCATGAGTAACGTTAACGGTTCCACGGTTTTTGATGATGGCAAGACTGCGAAAACTGATTTAAAAAGTCAGATAGCAGTCTAAGAAAAATTGGTTAAGTCAATTTAATCTCGAAGCTTCGTATATGACACTCCATTTTGAAGATCATTGGTAAAGAGTTCCGAAAAACTGCGTCCGCGATGGCGAAACAAGAACAGAAAACGTGTTTGCAGACTCAGGAACATTTTTTTCTCAGACTTTTCTGTCTGCTGCATCGAAGTACTATTTTTTTCCTAGCATTAGAAACATCAAATGATAAATGATAGATCGTTCGAACTGAAATAAAAATTGTACA